GTGGCACAAAAATTTTAGTAATCAGGCTCTCAAGATTCTAATCTTTGCTTTATAATTAATAAGCCCTTTGACCTTGGGAATCCACTTATCTCTCTGGTTGTCAGTTTATGCATCTATAAGATGAGAAGGCAGATGAGTTTTAAGGTTGTTTCCAGTACCAGCAGTCTATGATTCTGTAATTTATCAGATAGGCTATTTTAGGATATTTACAAGGACAAGCAAGCTGCTGAGGTATCTGTAGTTGGAGCCTCACTCAGGAACTCCCACACAGAGAGGCACTGGGCACTCATGGCTCTTTCTGGCCAGAAGATTCATGTCCTTCATATGAAGGCATGCCCTTGAGCAGCAGATGACAAAAGAGGACTTTCCAACAGCAGCTGGCTGTTCTCCTTTAGCCTCAATTGACAGGCCTTGAAAACATTGACACCCTCGCTATCTCCTATTGTAGGACCCTACTCCCCACATGGGTATTCTTAATTCCTACGTGTGAAGTTGTAGGTCAAGTTCTGGGCATAATCAGCGTGTGTTCACACCACACAAAAGATTTTACTTCATGTAACCCCAAATGCGTCAATAGCAGTATAAACAGGACTATCACTCATGAACTTTCTATTATTTTGGTCATTAGTCTTAACATGCATCCCCATCTAGTTTTCATACACAGATAAATCTTAGTCTACAGGAAAAATTTATAGTTAAGTCTTGACATCGTACATTTTTCTTGGTTGAGTTACCTATGGCTTCCTAATACTTGACCCAATAATTTTAAAAATTCTTTTCTTTCCTGTTGCATTTGACTCTATTTACTGCTTCTACCTCTGGAAATAGACTCCCCCTTTGGTTTAATTTCTCTTGGTTTTACTACTGTTCCAACATTTTTTTCCTTTATAGTCCTTGTTCTCAGAGCTTTTTTTTGTCTGACCTTTGATTGCTGCTATCTTGACAGGCTCCCTCATCTTCATATGCTGTATACCTTTTGTGCATCCTTATGTCTGTGCTCATTGTTCTAACTACTACTTCCAGAATGGAAATTTATAAATAGGTATTTTCATCCAGTACTTTTCATCTATGCTCCAGGCTCAGTTCTGAAAATCTTTATGATTAGCTCCAGCTCACCAAAATAAATTCAACTTACCATCATCTTCCAAAACTTCCTCCTCCTTTCATGTCTCCATCTTAATGAAAGGCACTACCCAGATGCCCAAGCCAGCAATCAGGAGTCATCTGACTATCTTTCTTAGCTCTGCAATCAGGTCACTGAGTCCTGTGTGTTGATCCTTACTTGCACCTC